AAATTAAAAAAAAAAAAACTTTAAAATTTTATATACGTGAATACAAACAAATATATATGCTAAGATGTTAAGCTGGCGTCAAATACAAACGTAAAACAAAAATACCTGCTTATATAATAAGATAAATAATTTATAAACTGCATGCTGAAGAATAATTGGCAATATATATATATATATACATACATACATATATACTTACATAAATGTAAGCTACACATTAATTACAAATTGCTTAAGTCTATATTTTGGGAATACAAACTAAAATTCCTGCGCTCATTGACACACAAGCCAAAAAGGAGCAGAAAAACCAAGTTTCATTTTTCAATAAAAATAAGTTTAAAAAAATATATATTGATTTTTGCAAAGAAAAAATTAGAATAAAAGCAAATTGCTGAAAAGACGCAAAAACCTGATGAAATTCCCAAAAATCTAAAGAAAATAAGAATCTTTATTTAGGAAACAACAAATTTTCGAAAACCAAAAGCCTGAAACTTTGTGTCCATTGTTTTATAAACACAATAAAAAAAATAAGTGAAAGGACAAACAATAATTCCAAGTACCTTGAAGAATAATTAAAGAAAAAAATTGAATTGAATTTGATTATCGAAAGGTGAGGAAAGAATGCACTTCGCCAACGAAGACACTTAAGGGTACAAAATAGAACTGAACAACAAGTCTTACTTTCATAATATATGAAATAAATTTTAGAATTATAAAACACTATAAAATATAAGTTACATGAAAGTGTACATAAGCAAGTAAATAAAAGAAAGTGTTTCAGTTTAAAAGCTCGCTGGCAAAAATGTTTTCATAGTTGTTAATAAAAAACCTAAAATATTGCATGTAAACATGACTTAAGAAAACACTTTTTGAAAAAAAGTGTTAAATTATTAAAAATAAGTATTTGTTTTTTTTGAACTGTGCGCTACTAAGCATTTTTTTTAACAAAAAAAAAAATTCTCAAATATTTCATTATAGTTTTGTTTTTCAACGGATGAGTGAGTATGTTGTATCGATAACTTGACTTTTAAAAATAACACCGGTCAACACAATTTTCGGGTCTGACTACTGCATGCTAAATTTCAATTGCTTCTACACCAAAAATTAGAAAATTTTTCTTTAAGTTTGTTTGTGTATTTTTTCGTATTTTTTCGTATTCTTTCATGTTCGTAAAATCTTAAAAATCTAAAAATAAAAATTGCTGTGTTTTTCAATATCCATAATCAGAATTTGAGCAGGAAAGTAGTAACCCAAAAAAAGTTTTTTTTTTATCCATGTAATATTTACAAATAAAACAGTAACATATTAATTATTTTAAATAAACCATAATTTTAAATTTTTTTAAACATTTGCAAATTTTGCATTTTATTGATAATTGACATTATTTATTGTTTTTCTCGAGAATTAAAAAACAAAAGTTAATAACGTCTTGTTTTATGAACACATATGATATAGAAAGTTACTTTTAAGAAGAATATAAGCATTACTAATTTATTTGGAAAAATCAAAAAAAAATTTAGAAATTTCGATTTCTATATATTTTTTTTATTTTACGACTTTATACGAATTGAAAGCAGCAAATATATTGGCAAAATTTTCAAAACTTTGCCAAAATTAAATTTTTATTTGAATACTCATAAATTTTAATGTAACCAAACTAAATTCTTAATCGAATAAAAAAAGTTTAATTTGAATTTGGTGAAAAGTATTTCAGTTTAAAAAATATACTAAGCTACTTTAGAAATGCAAAAATCTGTGAAAATATGGGTTGAAACCTAAGTAAGACAAAAATAAACTGTGCTTGATTTCAGATATATATATATACACATACATATGTATATAAATAATTTTTTTTTAATAACAAAAATATTGTACGCAATAAAAAAAATTTTTTTTGAAATTTTGCACCATAAAAAATTAAAAACTACAACTAAAAATGCTAAATTATTTTACGCATAAAAAATATATGTTCACATGTATTGAAACTATTTATAGTTCAGCTGGACGAAATATGTTTAAAAATGACAAATATTTTAAGAATTTATTTTTACGAAATTACAATAGTTTAAAAAATTTAAAATAAAATTAATTTGAATAAAATCTAACTTGCAAAAAAATTAATTACAAATGCGCTCCTAGTATTACATATTTATATGTCGGTACTCATGTCCAGCAATTTATATTTGCTAGCACAAAAATTTAAATTATTAATATATATTGCATATATTTTTTTAAAACGATGGCATCACTAAAAATACCCTTTTTGTTTTTAATAATTCTGAGCGCTATAAAATAAAAAAAGAGCCGATTTGAAAACATATTTTGTCATAATAAAATATTTATAAATAAAAAGATATAGCAAAAAAAGCTTAAAAATCAATAAAAATATACTTATACATATAAACACATAAACATATTAATAAGCATATACATGTAATTTCATTTACACAAACATATATGTATGTTATGTAATTAAAACATTCTAGGTGGAGTGCAAAACACAATTAAAAAATTTTCTGGTGTTTGATGTATTGATGATTAAAATTGTAATGATAAAAAAGTAACAAATAAAAAAAGTAAAAGATACAAACGAAAAACTCGTTGGGCATTTTTAGTTATATTTCTATTACATATTTACCTTCAGAAATTTTCTCCTCTTACATATAATTGAAAAATTGAAAAAATTTAATTTTCACATATCTCGCAAAATTTTCTGTACGAAAAGCTATACATTTCTCGAAGATTTTTCTATGCTACATACATATGTATACATATCTAGGAAACTTAAATAATCTTAAAGCTTAGCATTCTTATTTAACAATTTCTAAAAATTCATTTAATTAATAATAAATGGAAAATATTTACGATAAAATTAAGATGTTCAGCTTCTATAGCAATGGGCTTCCTAAACGCCTAGATGCGTCGTCAGACAGCCGCTCTATCTACTTAAGACGTACATACATATGAAACGATTTATTCACAGAAACGGTAAACAAATTAAGGCGTTACGTGGGTTAAAAACGGTTTATTTTCAATAATTTGTTTTAATATAAAAAATTAAATACATTATTCAAATTTTTTTATTATTCCAAAGATCCATGTTTTATTAAGATTTTGCGAAATTTTCAAAACTCGGCCATTACCACGTCATTTCCGCCAGCCGCTCCGAAAAAAGGTGCCGCCGCGTTGTCAGCAGAACTTCTTACAGGATCAACAAATGTAAAAAGAAAAAAATTAGTTTTTTGATTTTTTTTTTTTTAATAGTTGTAATTGAACAAAAATAGATCCTGCAAATTAAATTAGAAAACTGGGCAATCGCCCTTGAAACATACAGATTTTACGCGTTTAAAGTTTTAAGTGAGTATATACCTAACCTCGAGCGAACAACTTTTCCAGACTATATCGCTGAAAACTACTACTCGGGTCGACCTGAGAATTTAGTACAATATCTAGAAACGTTATAGAATTAAATAAGACAATAAAATTTTAGTTTTTTTTTGAAGTCGCGAAATTCTTGTAACCCCTTAATCAACTACATATGTATGGTATATTAAATGCAACAAAGCTTTCGCAAAAAAATGTGGAACGCTTCACGATTTTGCGTGTCATCCTTGCGCAGGGGCCATGCTAATCTTCTCTGTATCGTTCCAATTTTAGTATATGTTCTGCCGAAGCAAGAACAAATTTTAAGCATTAATAACTGCATTTGTACTCGCTAAGTATTGAAAAAGTACTTGCGAATTACAGACACATGAAAACGAACGAAATCAGCGGAATGACGTTACTGACAGATGCGAAGAGTGGGAACACTTGAATAGTGAACAGTTTTTTTTTTTATAGAGGGTGCACCAAGAGTATGTCGGCAAACACAAAGAACTACTTTTTTGTTTTTTTTTTAAACTTCGTTAAGTCAATGCTTGTAAGAGGCACAGCCTGTGTGACAGCCTAAAAAACGTTGATTTTTGAGAATTAAAAAAAAAACCTACTGCATCGATTGTTTTGGAATTTTTAGCGTATATTTATGCATGTTTCAAAAATGAATAATCAAATTGCAAAAAAAAAAATTTTTTTCGAGTTACATATATAAGATCCCCGAGCGCGCCATTTTTTGTATTTTACCCCATATTTTGGTCGTTTTTAGTCTGTCAAAATTTGATTTTTTATCAGATTCGATTCTTGATAGCTGATAGGTCATTGTGTATAGTATTATATAATATACAGAACAAACAGAAAATAAATTCATATTGATTGTCTTTGAGTTATCACGACAGCAAATCCGAAAAATGCTGTTTCGAGAAAAACCTGTTTAAAGATAAACTCATGAAGCGGATTGAACTGAGCGGCTACCCATTAAACGGGTGTAAGTCAAAAGCTCTTTGAGATAACGATTTGAAATTTTAGTATGATATTTTTTATACTATAAACTATCGATCGATCTTTTTCAAAATTTCACACTAGGTGTGCCCCTTAAATGAATGCATTATATCTCATCAATATTGTGTCTAAATTTGAGGAAACGCTTGCCAAGTCGCTTATGGAAATTTATTGCTAAATATTATTCGTGCCTATGTGAGTCTTAGATTGGGTAAGTTCACTAAAGAACTAGCAACAACATAAAAGGGAGGGCACAATAGATCATAGGTCGCGGTGCATACCTCAATCACTATCTAACAACATAAAAAAGAAAAATGCATGGAAAGTTACGCAAAAAATGCGTCGCTTAAATGATGTAGAAAGTTTGATTCAAGTTTACAGGCCATCAGGCGATGGGAAGATATATTTTTTCGTCAACGCATAACTTCGATGACTGAGTATAAATCACTCGACCGCGGCTCAATTTGTCAACATTTTTATTTATTATATATGCGAAGTATTCTCTGCCGCTATAAGAACAACAAAATTACTGAGTAACGTTCAATAAGTTCTACGAATTGAACATTTCAAAATACTATTGTTGGCAAAAAATTTGAATATTTTTATTAAACATAGACACTTTGAAGTAATTTTATTTGTTTATTTCTTTGGTTTACATTCACTATTAAATTTAGTTCACAAGTATCTCCAGTTATATTAACTTTTATTTAATTTTTGTAACAAACATTTAAAACATTATTTTCTGAATTTTTGCGAATACATATTTATTTTGATAGATTTAAATAGTATGTATACCCAAAAGATTGTGCTTTACAACGCAGCAGTGAAGAAGGCACATAGTAGTGTATTATTGTAAAAAATAATAAAATTTTAATAAGGTTAGGCTTTGACACTAGGAATAATTATTTAAACACAGTGTAATAATAGGAGTTAAATATTTACTTATATCGTTTAAGTATAATTTAGAAAATTGTAACTTTAAGCTGTTTAACACACATGCATTATTAAAGTTATATATATAAATAAACTAAAACGAAAATATTTAATTTAATACAAAACTTTTTCGGAATATTTTTTATTTATACTTTTTTTAAATGCATATTAGCTTAAAAATTTCTTTTATAAATAATAGAACTACATTATGAGAAATACAATATTAAAAACGAAAGTAATGTTTGAAAATTTGTGATTATCTTGCTTTACATTTTGATTTTCGAATGGCCTTATACACAAATTTACATATGTAATATATTCCTATTTGTTAAAATATATACATGTATGTATATAATACATTATTTTTTTGATACGATAGGCACTACATACAGGACAGTCGAGAGAGTTGTGATATAAAAAAATGAATAAAATTGAAAGAGTAATAAGTTTGGAGAAGTGAAGTACCACTGTATGACCATTTTTCGGCTAAAAGAAATATCTTAAAGCACATTACCGTACGCTTAATCGTGCTTTATCTCCGGCTGCAGATCCATCCATGAGTTTATGCCATTACTGGATATCTCTGGCTCGTTAAGCGGAATTTTAAGCTGAAAACAAAAAAAAAAATTTAGTTTTGACTTTCATCAACTGTCATTTCCATTTACCATGCCCATAATGGGACTGCCGCCATAGAGGAAGCCCTTTTGCGAGCACACCGTCACCTCTAGTTCGGTTTGTGCGAGTTCAGCGGTCGAAATGAGATACTCAAATGTCGCCTCATAAACGGGATTGCAATTGTCCTTAATCACCATCGTCTTACGTTTCGATTCTTTGCTTCGACCTGGCAGTAGATAAAGTTTTACATAGGGATCCGGTATGCTAGATGGATCACGTAATGGCAAATACATGATCTTATGTACCGTAACGGAGAGTTTTTGACGTTGTACACTATAGCGTATGGAAAGTTGTATACGACCTAGACCATATTCACCGGCAGAGCTAGTCAAATCGAGCATACGATGAGTAAGCACCGCTTCGCCCGACTCGAGGGCAGCTGAATAAGGTGTGGCAGCTGGTGAGACATTCATTGTTGTGACTTGCTCCTCTGCAATGGGAGATTCAAACGAAATGCGACTAGTTTGTGATTGTAGATCCTAATCATGGAAATAAAGTAAGAAAGCTCAATTAAGTGTCTTTTATATTTCTAAATATAATATATTTATGTATATTTACCTTAGCGCTTTCCTGCGTGGGCGTTTTCCATGAGCTTGATCGTGTTAGTGCTGCTGAGGAATCTGGTGAACCAGTATTTTGCTCAGTCTCCTCTAGTATCTCTGCCGGCTTGAGTATGCGCAAAGACAGCGACATAATCAATTTAGATTCGGGTCCAGATTTCTGCAGTTGAAAAGGTTGTGAAACCAACTCCATATTCTTTTTGGGTAACAATAAATTTAGCGGATAAGTGTACTGGCCAATATCATTGCCGGTCTTCTGGTCAGCAATACGTATTTGAAGCGACTCATTTTCCGGATTGCTCACGAGGAAGGTGAAGCCCTGCTCCCAAACCGGCGAATCATCACGCATAATCATGGCAGTCTGCTCTTTATGTTTGCCAACCATGGCAATTAGATAGGGATCAGGTTTGGAGCTGGTGCGAGCTTGCTATAGAGGGGAAATGTAGACGATATTTATATGTATGTATGGTTGTTAGAAAAACACTTATTATTACCTTTAAATTCTTGGCAGAATCGATGAAGACAGTCAGCAGTGCAGTGCTCATGGAAGTTACTCGCAACTGTTTGGTTTCCAATATCGCCGCTTGTAAATCGTTAGGATCAGCAGTCAGTTTATACCATTGCATGCGTACATGCAAGAGACCATGTTTAGCGTCTTCTAATGTCAGCCACTGTTTAAATAAATAGTTATGTGTTTAAAACTACACAAATTCAACACTATTTTTTAATGTATTTACCGTATCTACAATTCCACGCTTGATCACATTGAAAATCTCGATGGTAGCTCTAGAAGTTATACAAAATATTAGTGTCGGCAATATTGTATACATAGTTTAAACTTTCGAATGAACTCAAGAAATCAATCAAAGTGTGTTAAAAAAATGAAACTCGCACAAAAATGATCTCAATGATTTTGACTAGTAGTATAGTTTGGGCTTGTTCTAGTCAATTTTTGAGGAACAAGTTAACTCTACTATCATTTTGCAAGAACAGGAACTTGATGGTTGAATGGAGCAACCTACCAACAATTCAGAGATCAATGCGGAATCGTAGGCGCTAACAACGACTGCGACCACAAAAATTATCGTAGATTAGGCCAAGATGTTGCTAAGCTACTCGCAGGTAAGAAATACATGTTTCTAATAAGCGACCGCAGTCTAGGTGTCCATTCGGAACTATAAAAAGAAAATGTTTCATTGTATACTCATTCCAAGGAAGTGCTGTGTTTGTATATAAATTTCCATATGATAAATCAAGATCCAGGGAAACTGATCTGATGATTTATAGCAAAGACAAAAAAGTAGACCCACCAATAACATTTGGTTTTGGGAGAACAGCTCTTAGTGAAATCAAGCAAAAGAAAGCAACCAATGTTACAAACGGCGCACTGAATCACGTCCTTAAGTTAAGTCCTTTTCCATTCGGTTATTTTAAAGTAGAACTGGTGTTCCTTATTGCATATACGTTGTTGTTGCTGGATTTTAATTCAAAGAATATTACCACACGTCCTTAAGAAACCCACCGTTATAAACGTGAATAATACATATTTTTTTTTTTTTGTATTTTGGGTGTCAAAGTATTTGAGCTCTTGAAGAGATATTCTAATTTAAAGTGAACACGCTTTCTTGTCGAAAATAATACATCTCTAGTATTAAAGATCAGCTATATCTTCGAAGTATTACCAATTTAGACTGCTTGTTTCTTCTATTGATATTTTTAATAACTTGTTCGTTGTGTAGTACATATTACATTCATTAAATGGAGAGAGCTCGGTTTGTCAAAAAAATGTGGAACGCTTCACGATTTTGCGTGTCATCCTTGCGCAGGGGCCATGCTAATCTTCTCTGTATCGTTCCAATTTTAGTATATGTTCTGCCGAAGCAAGAACGAATTTATGCCATTTTAGTTGGTACTTATATTGACCTTTTGACGAAAAAGCGCATGAGAATTAAAACAGTTTAGCAAAGAAGTAAATGAAAGATGCAACAGAAATGCATGCACCGATGCAATTGCTGCGATGCTGAACTACATAGTTATGTTCGTCTTTTAGGGGTTAGGATGAGTCCGTTATGTGTAGCTAACGAACAAACACACGAATAAATGTAAGTTTTTGTCGATATGAATGTCATTAGGTAAAACAATACGAAGCCGGTACACAAGGAATGTAAGGTTAAACATCATATTTGTTTAGTAACTTAATTAAAAAATATTATTTTACGTTTATGTTTGATTTGTAGCAGTATACATATTCAGTGTGAATCCTACCTATCAATTAACAAACACAAAGATGGTGTCCTTGACACTGGTTTCCAGGTAGCGCTTAGCATAACTACAAAATATCACATACATAGTTACACACACAATTTAATGTATTTAGCGACTACTTAAAATACATACATTTAAAAACACATAGCTACCTGCCCGTTGAGGCAGAGAAAGCAACCTAAGCAACAGCATAAACAAGCCATAAGCCTCCTCCCACTTTAGAGCGCATACTTATTTAGTAAGTGTCTGCAGCTAATTCTTAGTTAAGCTATTCTACACATAGCTGATTTACTACACAGCAAACACATCGTCATTTGGGGTGTAAAGCGTCTCTTAATCCAACGTGTCAACATAACCTCAACAACGCACTTCATCTCAACAAGAGTCAACAACAACACTTCATAATGATTTCACGTCGCGATAAGCTTTTGAATTTGCCCTGGGCTCAACAACGTTACGAACATCATCGAGCCAATCTTCGTTCAGCCAAACCAGCCATCGATATGCGTACGCCACCAATTTATTCTCATGTCATACTCAAGCCGAAGAAGGTGCAAAACGAGAGGGAGCGTCTGCAACGCATTGAAGTTGAGAATGTGCGCCTCTTGCAGAAATTAGGTGATATTATGAAGACCAAGCGTATGTCGGATTTGTGGTTGGCCCCACGACCCAAGTGAGTAGATGTTTCGAATGTAAAGGTCTTTCAAATATTATGGCTTCTATGTATCATTGCAGAAACTAGTGAGCTTTTGTATTTTTATATTTGTATGTAATCTCTTTATTTCTACAGTTTTTTAAACCGCGAAAAATTATTTGAAACACGCCCATATTCGAGTCTACCGAAACTGATTACCATATATGGACCAACATCTCCAGAACTTGAAACGAAACCACCAAGTGTTTTGAAGTCACCGAATTCGAAATTAGCGCGACGATGCCCAACTTGTAGTGACAGACCCGAGCGTACGCAAGTGGTGAGTCGAAAAAAATATAGTTGAGGAGAAATAAGAAATGGGTGTAGAAGAACTTTCCAGCTAAAGTAGAAGGTTTAATAACTTACTTTTATAATTGAAAAAGTCAAAAATTGAAAATGGTTTGAAGTTTTCTAAAAAAACAACTTGTATAAAGTTAAAACCCTCTTTGTGCTATACAAGTTAAGATTAATTAAGTGCACCAAAAGAACGTAACATAGATCGTAGGTTTAATGGATATCCGTCATTGTACAATAGATAAATGTTTCTAAAGCGTAGTTGGGCAACAAAGTGTTGGCAAATTTTTCTTTTTTCATTGAGATTGAAGATTCTGTCCATTAAAATATTTTCCCACCGTTAGGGTGAAAACTATGTATCTAAAAAATTGCTAACGCTTTCTTTAACATATATAAACAATATTCTAATTCTTTTTCAAGGCCATTCCGGAAAAACGTATCCCTTGGGAGGTGCCACGTGTCTCACGAAATATGCAAACTGAGAAGAATTGTACAACGAAACGTTGCTTGCATTGTGGCCACCCTAAGAAAGCGGTTGAAATGAAGACGGAATCAAAGGTGGAAAATTAATAAAATTTTTATAAAAAGATTTATAGAAGACAAAAAGCAAATTGAGCTAAGAACGAACGAGCGGTTTTGAGAGAGGTTTCAGTCAAAAATATATTTCAAATTTGAAATGAAAGAAATTAAATAATTTCGAAAAGCAACTGAGGTTCATTAAATTAAATAAATCACCAATAAAATAACACAATTTTGTAAAATTTTAAGTTATGAACTTCTATTGTTAAAATCTAACGTTCAAAATTACTTAAAGAGCGTTTAGGTGCATAAGTAATTGCCAACCTGCCAAGTGATTCATCATCGCCGGTGCGATCCCAATCATACAGTTTAAACACCAAGAAGGTATGTTGCGTCACCTCAACCACAGCCTGCGTTTTCGGGTGAATGGGGAGATGGAGTGGTTGTAATTACGGTTCGTAGCATAATTTAGCAATGTTGAAGAGAACAAGAGAGAAATAAGAGAGAGAGAAGGATATACAAGAAAAAAAAACGAAATAACAAACAACTTTTGATATATTTGCCTCAATTGCTTTTACACTTTCTAAACACAATATTGCATGTATTGTTATACACAATTACCGTTATATATATTATGAACAATATTTGCATAATTGCTATACCAACTCCTACTACTAGTGACGCACATAAACATAATTAAATTAGTATAAAAAAGATTTCTCGAATAAGTTTAACAAGCAAAGAACTCTACCAAAAATTAAAGAGTGTGTTACTATAATACTTTCATTACTTTGACTACTGTGGACAAACGAACGTGTGCTTGGATAAATGACGAAGTTGTTTTTTGTTTACTTAAATATACTAACTCATGCAGTCTCGGGTTTCAGCTGACACACAGAAAGGGTCGGATGTCATGCTAAATATTATATGTAGGTGTTTGCTAGATAAATGTGGACTGTGTTTATGTGGATACAGGCTATTGGTGGAAGAGTACATTTTTAGCTTAGTCAAAAAACATGCTTTGATCAGCCTCAAGAGATTTACCCTCCACGACCCCAGACCACTCTTAAGAATGTGTACTTCTGTAAATTTGTCTACTAAAGGCGTGCTTAATGGAGTTTGGATAGCTTACGCTGAAAATTCGTTAACCTTATGTATTATATAGATATGTATATAGTCGTGTTATGTACCTACATTTTCTATGACTTCTCTTTCGAAAAATATCGCATTGCTCAAAAATTGAGTAAATCTGTCTGTCTACTTTAATATATACGTGTACATATGTCAACCTTACTAATTAAAGGCAGAACACTCTAATATATTTGGCAAGATCGTGATCTTAGTCTTGATTCAAGTTACGCTTCCACTAATTTCCAAAATTGAGATGGAACTTCAGGAACTTTCACTTTTTGAGTTTATGTATCTAAGTTCCAAACCAAAATTGACATATTAACTGATATGTGAGTATAATTTATAGCGTTTCAAAAGACACTGCCTGAGCACCCTGCAGTTGATCTTACGTAGCCAGTATAAGGGCAAGAGAGTGTTGACGCACAAGTTTTTGTTGGAAAGGTTCCTTTTGAATTACTAAACGCCGATAAATATGGCATGATCTCTTACCACATGACTTATAACAAATATTTATTAGAATAATAACAGAATAAAACATGGTTAGGTTTAAAAAAGCAATAATAAGGTAAGTAATGAAAACGTAATAAAACTTTGCGTAATAAGCAGCTCTATACAAAAATTAGTTAGTAAGGAATATGTAGCTATTTTGGAACTAAGAAAATAAGAAACACTGCGAACGAAATCAAATTAAATCAATAAAGGGGTAACAAAAGAAACTTAAACAACACAAAACAAAATTCCATTAAAGGCGATTAGCGAACCTGCCCAGAAAATCATCGTTCGGACTACCGGGAATATCTGAATCCCAAAGATGAAAGACGGCCTTGAGATCCAAAGTGCCGTCAGCAAAGGCAGGGGCCTACAAATACATATGTTTGTGCAACTGTAGATTAAAGTTGGAAGAATATTGACGGAGGCACACAACGTGCCTCTCCGTTGACATATTTATAATTGTAAGTACTTCGTGTTAATTAGAGTTGAGGTAACACCAAACACAAAAGGTAACGGAGTTTTGTACAAAAAGTGTTGGAAAACGGCATGCAAAGACAATTTACGGTAGTTTTCGGGTAAGAGTTATGGAAATTCGTTAATTCAAGTGTAGAAATAATAGAACTTAATCAAAAAGAAGCTAGCCAACTACTTACGTTAATTACAGTAAACACTTATCGACACTGATATGTGTGGGGGTTTGTGGAGCCAATGGGGAATGGGTGAAATGCTAAGGTATGCTTATGACACTTGTGGTATGTGTGTAGGTATACATGAGTTTGTTGTGATGATGTGAAGATTTTTCAATAACAATGCATGAATTTCAATGAGTTCTGAGTAGTTTTTGTAAATTTCTTTCTTATTAAAATTTTTTATGTTTAATGTGCTTTACTTTTGATGACACATTTATTTGATTATAGTTAAAAAAAATTATAGTAAATATTTTTATTAAAGTATATCTTCTTTATTTGTAATTTTTGCAGTCTTTGATTTATTATACTCTCGCAACCTGGTGCTACAGAGTATAATAGTTTTGTTCACCTAACGGTTGTTTGTATCACCTAAAACTAATCGAGTTAGATATAGGGTTTTGTATATATAAATGATCAGGATGAAGAGACGAGTTGAAATCCGGGTGACTGTCTGTCCGTCCGTGCAAGCTCTAACTTGAGTAAAAATTTAGATATCTTTATGAAACTTGGTAGACATGTTTCTTGGTACCGTGAGACGGTTGGTATTGCAGATGGGATCACTGCCACGCCCACAAAACGCCATTATTTAAATACAAATAAATTGCCATAACAAAGCTCCGCAATAAGATACAAAACTGTTATTTGTTACACAGGATCACACTAGGGAGAAGCATATTCACTTAAAATATTTTTTTTTAAAGTGGGCGTGGTCCCGTCCCTAATAGGTTTAATGTGCATATCTCCTAAACCGCTAGTGAAATAATAACAAAATTCACTGGAAGCAAATTTTTGTAGAACCTCTACCCACAGTATGAAAATAGTTGAATTCGGGTGGCAACTCCGCCCACTCCCCATATAACGGTACTTTTAAAAACTACTTAAAGCGCGATAAATCAAGCACTAAACACGCCAGAGACATTAAATTTTATCTCTGGGATGGTATGAGATAACTTTATAGGAACCGCGTTCAAAATTAGACAGTGGGCGTGGCACAGTCTACTTTAAGGGGAAAACCCCTATCTTGAGATCTGCTTAACCGATTTCAACCAAATTCGGTGCATAACGTTCTTTTCATATTTCTATGTCATAGTGCGAAAATGGGAGAAATCGGACTACAACCATGTTTATTTCCCATATAACACCATTTTCAATTCCATCTGATTCTTTCACTTTCCACTATGCATATCAAACAACAATGATTATATCGGGGTAGAATTTTGCGTGAATAATACGTTTAAAGTATGCCATCTTGTGACCAAAAATTGTCTAAATCGAACCAAAACTGTTCAAGCCCCTAAGTACTAAATATAATATGTGGACCCCAGTGCCTATAGTTGACCTTCTACCGAAAATATCAGTCAATCCACAAAGAAATCTCAAACGAGTTGACTTTGCGAGAGTATAAAATGTTCGGTTACATCCGAACTTAGCCCTTCCTTACTTGTTTTTATTTGTTTTCCTTAAAAAAAATTTTTTTTTGGTTTATTTAATTATGTTTTTTTATATATAGCTTTCATTTATTTTATAGTATTTATTTATTGCTTTAATTTGTTTCATTTCCTTTAAAAGAATTTTTTACTTGAATGTTTTTCGTTGACTTACCTGCCCAATCGCTCATCATCTCTGCCATTATCCAAATCGAATACCGTTAAATCAACACTTTGACCCAGTTCAACAAATATTTTAGCCTTTTTAATGTAGTTTTTGTTTAGTAGATAGTATGTTTTGAGATATTTTTTGGATGATTATTTTTCGTATTTGAAATTCGTTTGGTTTTTAAAAATGCAAAATGAAAACCAAAAATGAAACAAAATAAAAATTAGTATCAGGATAGAACAATAGTACGAATATAAATATATATGTAGATAGAGTAAAGTGCGATAGTTTGCAAACACTCACAAAACACTCATTTAAGGGTGTGAGAAAAAGTGTGAAGGTGTTCAAACAATTTCAAACAAAAATTGGTTATGCATGCCAAACGTGAAAAACAAAAAACATTTTGCAAAATGTATATAATTTTTTGATAACTCAGCTTTTTCAATGTGCGTGGAAAAATATTTATTTATATGCTAGACCTATTAATATTTAATTAGTAAATATGTAGGTAAATAGTATTATTTATTTATAAATACTTTATTTTATACAATAATATTTATAACAATTCAAAAATAAAAAAATGGAATTTTAAGCAGAAAATTTGAATTTCCTAAAAATATTTTCTTATAAAAATTTTAAAAAATATTCAAAATATTAACGAATTAAAATACGAAAACAAAGTATGAGATAAATTTTTATATTCAGAATAGTTTTTAGATAAAAAAATAATAATTGCTTTTAAATAAAAATAATTATTTATATAATATAGAATTTTGATTATAATTTATATATCAACACTTGAAAAATAAAACACAAAATTTATAAAAAAATTATATAATAAAAAAAAACTTAAAAAAACAAAAATTTTTAAGTTTTGGTAATTGTTTGAATAAATATTTAAAATAATAAGCTTTCCTTAAAAAAAATAATAATTAATAATATTATAACTTATTTCTAAAACATGTTTGAAAAATTTCAAAATTTGGTAAAAAATATTGAAACTATTTTAAGTTTTAAAACCTGTACATTTTTTTATTGTTAGTTATTTTATACCTTTCATTATTACTATATATAGTCTTCAAAAATAATTTTAGTATCTATATACAGATATATTCAGACATATAAAAAATGAAAAATATTAATAAAGAATCTCTTACCTCGCACCAGTAGTCCCACTTGGGGTTCACATTATTCTCAATAATTTGCGTTTTGAATTCTTGTGCGCCCACATTGATCACTGCATAAGGATCTGACTTGCCTTTGCCCAAAACACCGATATCCTTCTTCATGAGATCCTTTGCCTCAATGACATGAATGCGTAGAATGCCCTACAAACCAACAAAAAAAACCAAAAATTTACACATTTTTCAAATACACCCCAGATCCTCGCTACGTACCTCCGGTTCTGGCATTTTCAAACTAATCGCTGGCACCTCATTGCTCAAAGTTATTGGCAACTTATTTGGCAGGACCATCACGGCACCAATTTGCTCCACAATAATGCGGCGCAACAAATCACTCAAACCGGGCATATCCATAAAATCGATAACACCTACTAAATTGAAATCGATATTCGGATTGTTGAGGAAGAAAATCTGCAGGCCACCTACAAGTGGCATGGAACGTATGAGCGGCTTCATGACCACGCGCACCCAGCCATGTATTTGGAAGTCCTTGATGCCGCCCTTCATGCTACCCAAATAGAAGTTGATATCGCAATCGCTGGCATAGAATAAATCTAGATCCATAATGATCTCGTTGCGATCGACATTCTTATCATAGATCTTGACACCGCCTATGCGTGGTGGTATCGTGCCCAGAATGATGCGATCGAAACGGAAGCCATTCATTTTATAGTTTGCCAGTGCCAGCGCCACATTCGGTTCGATAGTCTCTTTGACTAGGGAGCGTGCGTAGTGATTAGCGTTGGGCCACACTTGCTTGAGAATCTGAGAGAAGGGGAAGTAGAGATAAGCTTTAGGACAGTGTGTTTTTCAGGTAAAATGAATCATATACCTTGTTAACCCATTCACAGCGTTCCACGTCAGGAAAGTAGACCTGTAAAGATAATGCAAAAGAGCAAAAAATAGCAGAGAATGTTATCATTTGTTATGGACAAGATTTTTCAACAGAGAAAATAATGCGAAAGTTGGATTCTTCCAACAAAAACTACATTCCGCAACGAGTTGCAAGTTTGAGTATCTACTCACCCACGCTGGCAGCTCATCGATTCGTGCAAGTATGACATCCTTCTCAGAGGCCATGGCCGAAGCTTTGGCAATATTGCGCTTATGCTCGGTGGTTTTGCGTAGTTCATCGCGCGCCACTGACAAGATCACCGGTGCGATCAGCCACGCGACACTCCAGCCCATATAGCCAACCAAATAGATGGAGCCCACAATGGCGACCTTCTTGAAAACCGTATAGATAACGGAGAAGATGCTATCACTGCTGGATGATGTTGTAGCGACTGCTTTATCAGGATTTACTTCTTTGCTAGCGGCTGCCATTTCACTTTCATCGACGGGTGTTGGTGGGCGTGCGGTCAGTTCGGCGAGCGGTGGACGGGGTATGGGCGTATTGGGGTCGTATTCCTCGTTTGCCGTTGACGAGACAGGTTCTGTTTGGTCAGTGGTGGTGGTGGAACTGACCTCCTGGGCTTCGGGGATATCTTCGATGGTGCTAAAACGAAGAGTGTATGTGAGTTCGTTGAATGCGGAGGTTGCATTTTTATATAGTTTATTAATTAAACTATTTGTTAGAAGTCAATAAGCTAGCGCAGTACTCTCCAAGTCAAATTTAGTGTTTTTTTATATAGAGTAAAAAGCACAAGCTTACACATAAGCTGATTTCTTGTGCACGCAATCTACTGTGCCGTGTCTTGGGCTGTCAACAGCTGTGCAAGCTTGAATTAACAACAATATGTGAAATAAGTACGTTTGTGCCTAAACAATCTGACGGACTGTGTGACTGTTGGCGTGCTTTGCCGCCGGCTGCCGCTGTCGGCGGAATCTGTTCGGCGCTATTTAAAATTCTCTAGCTGTGCGGCGTCGCAAATATATTTATTTATAACCGCAAACATATAAATATTTATATTATATATAATAAACATTAATAAAAACCAAAAGCGTTAGGCGAATTCATCAGTGGCGAAGCTTTCAAGAAATTCTCTCGCTAAATAATAATAATACATATGAACATTTAACATAGAGTAAAAAGCAGCAACAATTATTTAACAAATCGTATATATAAGATAAATAAAAGGAAAAAAGAAAAAAAAAATTCAGATATATTAGCACTACAACGAAGAACAATTCGTATTAATGTATATAGGGGCATCTGCTAACATATGGATCATAATGATGTCATCTCCCAGTGCCTAACACAATAAAACTGACTTTGGCATACTTCGTAGCGTATTGTGATAATACTCGCCAAACAAATAAATGAATAAAAACAAAACCGATAAGAAATTCCTTTCGTAGCCATTGCTTTGATCTTGAAATACTTACTTCGTGTAAATAAAAGTAAAAAATATACTTATTTAACGAGCAAAGTTGGAATTAAAAATCACTAGAAGTATTGGTATATGAGAACTAGTGGCAGAAACAAAGTAACAAAGTTCGCTTGATTTTGGAAGAAAGTTTATGTGACCTATCCTATGGAGACTTTTTTTATAATATTTAGCCTTGATCCTCCGCAACAAAGATATACAACTTGGACCTATCTAATATCTAGCCGATGCAGCATAAAATATTTCCAAAGTGGTAACGGAGCTTTTGGCCGAATATACTAATAAATCAAAGTCTGTTTCAGTAATGTTGATAAATTCGAGCAGATTGTTATCGAATATGTCATATCCACGCCAAAGATCGCTAGAGAATTGCGCTATTTGTTTTTCTCCCAAAGCAGTCGGATTTACAAATATATGTAACCGAAAAATCAGTACCACGGCATGGTACGATACCGAACATTTTTCGTTAGCTCTGTTTGGAAATCGAAAAATTGTTTGATACCATTTAGAACCAAGTGAAGAGGTAATCACCGACACAGAGTGATATTTTCTGGATTTTGAGAAAAATTGTAGAGAACTAAGAGTTTAGAGAAAGATATTATCTTGAGCTATAAAAGACTTTCACTAAAAGTTGTTAGGTGAGTTTAATTGTAATATACTGCCCCTGTGCCTCAAGTGAAGCTCGAAAACAAAAAGAATAGCAAAATAATTTTTTATTTCTCCTAATGGTAATAATTGCATTTTTTCTACGTTTGTTTTACTTTCGAATTAACTGATTTGATATCATAAATAAGGAAGTGCTGAACATATACCATAGACGACGACAAGTGACAGGCAGCATCAGTCAAAATTAAAATACACACGTTATTATGGGCACAGTTATTTAGACAGCAGTACGACTACACGGCGGCAGGCTTCCAGCTGTCGCTTAATATCGGAATTCAGTATATTGATACAGGCACAAGTCTCTAAATATGTGATTTTAAATTAGAGACAGTTCTTGTGACTTGAGACGATTTCGCAATTCTGTACGTGACAGTCACAAAAATCTCTCTATTGAAAACGAACCAATCTAATCAGCTGTTACATTCCGTCATTTAGAGATATATGTATGTATATAAAACCTGAATAAAAACAAAATGTCGATAACAAATATAAAATTTCCTATAACGCGGTCAAAAAGCATAATTAACAATAAAAATTAAATGTTGACTTTGAATCGAAATAGTATCGTCACGAAGTGTATTTAAAATTTTTTTTTTTTTTAATTTTTACGTGTTTGAGTTGCTTCCAAAATATAAAAACCGACAACTGATAAATATCTGTGATGATCTCTATAAGTGAAGCCTCAGTATATTCAAAATGGAAAACAAGAATCCTTATTAGTTTTGTAACCTGCTTACTATCAAGTGACAAATTTGAGACCGTATTTTGTGACTAAAGATTGGAGACTGTATCGTGAATATGTCTTGAACAAAAAAGTTAAAATTTGTTGAAGTGAAAAGTTTTAGTACAGCTACAAAGAAATTGTGTACAACAGCTGTGTGATATGACGCTGACGTCTTCAAAATGCTCGCTTCAAAACGACATTTGTCGACCAGAAAATTTCGCTGTCGTGCAGTCGTGTCGTGCCGTTGTCATTGTGTTCAGAACATAAAGCGGTGAAGGATAACACAAACTGTAAAAACTGGAGTTAAATTGTAATGAAAGCCATTTTTTCTATTCGCTTCGTCGTAAAATGCGAATGTTTACATTTTTTACTAGACCAAAGCAGCAACAATTTGATTTAACGGGTAATGGCTTACAACATTTACGCATAAAGTTTTTTTTATATGTTTATATATTTATATATTGTACTTGTATGTAAGTATACATATAATTTGAAGCACATACATTGTGTATGTGGCTAAGAGACGTGGGTTTTCGTGTTTCAACGAATGAATAAATGCCGGCATATACCAACATATGTAAGCTCACATCTGTATATGTTTTTAGCTACATAAATAAATGTGTATATATGTAAACAGAAATTCCAAAACAAAAAGAAAAAAAGCATGTACTCCTATAAAACGAGCAGTCACGGTATGTTTATAATTTAATTTAATTCACTTATGTGCTATATTTCTATATACATTAGGGTGGATAAAAAAAAAATTACGTATATCTCTCTACCAACTGCTGGAAAAAATATTTCGCTTCATAAGTATACCCTGAACAGCGTATATTAAGTTTGCGACGAAGTTTGTAACAAGAAGAAGGAAACGGCAGAAACCCTATAAAATATTATATATATATAAATGAACAGCATGATGAGCTTAGTTAATTTAGCCTGTCTGCCTGTCCGTCTGTCTGTATATATACGAACCAGTCTGTCAGTTTTAAAGCTATCGATCTGAAATTTCGTACTTGTCCTTTCCTCACTAAGAAGCTGCTCATTTGTCGGAACAGCCGATACGGACTACTATAGCATATAGCTGCCATATTAACTGAACGTTCGGAGTAAAGTGCTTGCATGGAAAACTTCATTTGGCGAGATATATTCCCAAAATTTGGCACGGGTATCTAAGGTAATAATACAATCTCCGATGAAATTGTTCACCTCAGCTTACTATAGCATACAGCTGCTATACAAACTGAATGATCGAAATCCAGTGCTTGTATGGAAAACTTTTTCATTTGACGAGGTATCTTCAAGAAATTAGATCGGAAACAAGTTTCTGTAAGGAGCCTTTGTATTTGTGAAGGGTATTATAGGTTCGGCGCAACTGAAGTTAACTTTTTTTCTTGTTTTTGTACGGTCTCCGTAAAATTTTTTCGTAAACCTAGTCGTTAAAAAAATATTAACGGTTGAAGTTGTTTTAAGTTAAGCCAAAAATTTGTTTCTTATGAATTTAGTAACTCAATGAAAAACTCATTATAAATCGGAAGACTCATAGTTTTGTAAGAAATTTACTTCTCTATAAAAATTGTCACTTATAATTTACTAAACAAACATATATAATATGCATTGCTGTTTGACGATGAATATTTCGTAAACCCTTAACTTAATCGAAACATTTTATTCGTTACAATTAAGAGCTCATACTTGTATTTACTTTCTTAGAGGTGTCTATCAAACAATTTTTCTGAGTGTCAAAAAAAAAATTAATTTTTTTTTGACCCATCCTAATATTTATATATGTATGTATGTATATAAGTTTATAAATATAAATATTCACTGAAGTGCACATGTTGGGGAAGGCAGCTGGAATTAAGTTTAGAATGCCGGTCTCGCTGACTCAGTTTTGTGGCATTTTTCCAAGTACACGCTAAACAAATGTTAGCAGCTTTACTCATTAATCATGGAAATATTCCAAGCACAAAAACCACAAAAAAAAAACCAACATAAAGAAATAAATTCGTTTGCAAATTAAGTAACAGCTACTTAATTACCGATGGAACCATCCAGACATATTACTTGCTTGCATAAAAAAAATGTGCGGGGGAAATTTGGTTAAAAGAGCGACTTCTAACATGAGTTGGATAGTCTTGTTGAAAAAATTTAGTCTAAGAGAACTTTTAATTAATGATAAAGCGATACCGATAAAACCTATAAACTTTCATGACACTATATAATACTTTTCAGTTTCTTTCGATCTATTCTTCGATCACTCTCCAAGTCAATGAGATTGAAACTTGAGTAAGTACGAAAGTTCTATAAATTGAACCAAGCAATCCATAAAGCTTTCTAAAGTTACTCATTGATTTGGAGGTTGATCGAATATAGAAAAAGTTGAACTGAAAAGGAGTGGTTCTACGCTACCTTTTATCAGATTAACTCCATCAATATCACAAATATCGTTTAAGGTGTTTATTGCCATAACCAAACAGGGTGCACCAAAGTCTGTAACTATTTAACTGGAATGAAGACGAAATCACATAGCCGAACATGGCTTTGTACTTGTAAAATATTTAATACATTCAGAGCTGACAGTCTAAAGGTCAGCATATTTGAAGTTAGCTTAAATTCCTTTGGTTAATGTCTTTCAAATATTTATGCAAGGAGTGACTGAATTTTTAAATTTGTAAACAAAAAACCAAGAATTTCGGTTTGGGCATTTTGTGGGATATCTTTAATATTCAAAAATATGTGTGCGTATGTTACATATCAATATATGTAAATAAAAATATTTGAAACTGTCATAAAAGGAAGATAAAGGTGACATATGACCAAAGAAGCAAAGACTTCAGCAAACAATTTAGCAAAGCAAACTCAAGCAGACGCGATAAAATGGAATAGCTGAATGACTAATATAAAACACAATATAAGTAAGAAAATTATTATTCCAATACCGACATATTTGCTTATATACGAACATATTCTAAGTGGAGCCAAAGAACCTTTAAGCACACACACACATATACACGCACATTGATATTGACACGCATTTCCTTTAAAGGTGACTCAACAAGTGGTTGCTTTCCAGCAGCAACACAACAACAGCAATGACTGCTCAGCAGACAAGCTTTTCCATAATACGTACACACACATTCACATAAACTTACAAATTTGTGTTTTTGCACCTGTTGCTTGCTTGGCAGCATAAATCATTGAAGTAAAAGCAATAGCTGCAAGCAAGAACAAATTGGATGTCGTATGGCTATTCCTCATGTTGCAGAACTGTTGGAAATTTGAAACTTTGTTTGCGAAAACATTTCTAGTATACAGGGTGTGTCCTAAAAATAATTGAGCTTTTTAAATAGAGAAAAAACCACACTATCTACTACTACACTATCTTTGATTTTATTTAATATTTATTTAAACTAGGTACCATTACATCCAATATAACTTTTAGAACAACCAACATGTGCTTGCATAGCCCTTTTTATGTCATTTATAGAAACGTTCTACAGCACCTGGGTTGCGGCTGCTTGAATATCTCCGGCATAAAATGCTCCTTTCATGTTGGTTTTTAGTTTTGTCAATAGAAAATAGTCACAAGATGATAGATTAAGTGAGGATGGCGGGTGATTGATATTAGAAATTCGTTTTTTCATTAAAAACTCACAGGTTTACTTTGCTGGTCTTTATTTAATTCATGGGGAACAATATGCACACAGATCTTTTTTTACTTAAAAATTTAGTTAAAGTTTACCCGTTAGTGTTTTTATTTTTATTATTTAATTCCTCAGCCAACATTCTCGTAAAAAAATTTGCACTGATATCAATAATTTCACGGACTTTTTCCATCAATTCAGCGCGATTACTAACTTCTGAACGACCTGACATTCGGTCGTCATTTAAATCCTCACGTAAATGGACGTATCATGTAAACCATGTCTAAACTTGAATACGACTCATGCAATCTTCACCATAAACTTTTTTCATCAATTCGTATGTCTCAGCGAATTTCTTTTTTAAGTTTAACACATTATTTTATAATTACTTTTTGTTATAATTTAACTATTAAACTATTTTTATTGAAATGGCTGTACCTTTAACGACTGTCATCCGATTTACATAAAGTTAGGTGAGTTTGAAAAATGATGAATGTATTTGATTTGATAAGGCTGCAAGTTGTATGAGTTAAATATAAAGTTCGGTTAATTTTAGGACACACTGTACCATTATACGCTATTATTCTTTATACCTCGTAAGTTAAATTAAAGTAATTAGTAAAAATATAGAGCAAATAATTCGATAAAAACTCTAGTTTTATTATGAGCACAGCTTATAAGCTTAAAATATGTGAATAATGTCAACATAACATTAGGCTATGTACATAGCAAACAAACAAAAATTTAATAACAATCAAAATTAATGGTTACTTAAAGTTACTGCGTGCAAATGTATTGGTCTAAGATGTTTTTGCAATACTTAAACAATTTTCGAAACTGAAATTTTTTTTATTTTTTGATTTTAGGAGACTTTACTGCATTGTCAATAACATTTTTGCAACAGAAGCCAAGTTCAAAAATTAAGCATTTCCTGTTAAGCAAATCAAAAAATAATAACAATACTAAAATTTTAAATTTTTCCCTCCAGCAACTATTAAAAAAAATTGAATGTTTTCAAGTTTTGAGACGAAAAACAACTTCTGAGACTTTTTAGTAAAAATAGATGCTGTACTACCAATAGAGCTGACGAGATTTTGACGGCTCATGGCGGCCATGTTTGTTTACTGATTTGTGGCACATTTTGTCAGTGTGTTCAGTAAGGTTTGCCATTTTTTCTCTTCACGTTTCACTTTGGTACAACGCTTGGAAATTGTCCAATATTATTATGCAAATTCACGTTCTCCGAAAAACTCACAAATTCACGTTAATCGCAAAATCAGCTTCTCAGATGAGTCCCATTTCTGGCTTAATGGCTTCGTCAACAAACAAAATTGTCGCTATTGAGGTGAGTCAAATTGTCGTGTGGTTCAGGGAAACGCAATTGTGGTATGGCGACATCATCAAGCCTTATTGCTTTTGAAATTAGGCAGGAAATGCCGTTACCATCAACAGCGAGCGTTATAACGACGCGGACGAACACTATTTCCAAGCAGACGGTGTGCCGTCTCATGTTTCACGTCTAAACATGAACATATTGCGTGCAAAGTTTAACGACTCGTTAATTTCGAGAAATGGCCCAGTCAAGCGGCCGCCAAGATCATACGATTTAACTCCTCTATATTATTTTTACTGGGGGTATGCAAACGGAGCCATGGTGGCCATTTGGTCGACATTTTGTTGATATCAAAAATGGCATACAATTATATTATTAACCCATTTTGACCCAATTGTGTTTTATTTCATTTTAACATTACGTCGTTCTTGTTTGTAGACCCTTCTGAACATGTCCCTAAGCTATATTTCATCGTTACTTAATGCTGCTAAGTATTAAATTTTCTATTAAATAAACGCCTGGTCGAATCGAGTCTTGAATACGTTTATCAAAATTAAAATTTAAAAACATAATAATACGGAGTAGCCCACATAAGCAAAAATAATAATTTAGTGACACCTTCACAAGAAAAAAGTGTCAAGAAAAATTTTAAATGTAATTTTTTAATAAATTTTAAAGGACTCAAACAGCCTTTCATAAGAAAAGCTATAAATATATGTATTAGCCTAGCAAAAAATAGGCTAAAATTTTGCTTAAAATATTATCCATTATTTCAACAAAATACAACATAACTTAAAAAACGCTGAGCTTTGTTAACTGCACTTAGTTAGTTTTTACTGTCAACCCGCCGATGCATTAGTAGTACCCTTACCAATTGCATTAGTGATAAACAACAACAACAATTAAAGCAATATTAGCCAAAGTGTCATTAAAGTGGGCGGGTCACAGGCCATCAAACCATGAACATACACATCGTCCGAGCAGCCACGACAGCACGACATTAACGAAATTTTAGCGTGGCGGCGATCACGCATCGCCAAACAGATGCAGTCACAGTCGTTGCCAAAAGTGTGCGTACTACGGAATTTTGGTTGAGTCGTTGCTTTGTTGTCTTATGGAAATTGTTCGGATTCGTTTGCAAAGTCGTTGTGGGTGAAAAGGTTGACCCGCTTATGCAGGGGGCATCTGTTGCCGGGATGTAATAGTTTGTCGTGGAGTTTAGTGAATTTAGCGTTGTCGTTTTTGTTGTTGATGCTGTGTTTTGTTGTTGTTGTTGTTTTCGCTGATATTGACCCATTTACAAAGCTCACCTCATTTTCGCCGCGTCTTTCGTTGCAAAGCAGCAAAGCGATTTCTATGGCTTAGACGGAGTATGTCGTGCCGTTGTTGTCCTTTGTAATGTTGTTTGTGTTGCACGAAAGTATTACTGTTTGTATATAGAAATGTGTGTCAATAAGTGACGTGTTTACACTTTATGTTATATTTATTGTTTTTAGCGAATATTTATGGGTTTTTGTATTTGTGTTGTTGCTGCACGCTTGTGTCGTCACTAAGTATTAGATAACTGTAAATTGCACGCAATCAAAGGCAATTAATTACAGCACGTTGGTGAAACACATGTCGGTGGTCGGCAAAGTGGCAAAAGAAAAGTGGCAATAAATATGCAATTAATTATCTATACGAGCTGGCATACATACAAACGTATACACACACATATCTATGCGCACAAAGGTAGTGCTTTACCGTTATGTATTTTTTTGTCAAAGTGTTGAAAACCACATAAAACCCGGTCATTTGACCAACAAGTGGTTGTTGTTGCTACTTTTATGCACACATACATTTACATCTACGCCTACGCCTACACATCATAACACACATACACACTTATATGTACATATGAGTACGCTGGCATGCTTTTGCTGCGTTTGTTTACATTTTCATGGGCATTTGCATGCGTGCGTTCTTGTGTGTGCTCGGCTGCCGCTGATTTGTGTTTGTGTGCGTATGAGTCTGTAGTGCTGGCCATTTAATTGGGTCATAATGAAATTGAACAGACGTCTTTCTCGACGATCAACATATGGTAATGCATTATTTGTTATTATTGGTGTTTGCAACTTTTGATATTTATTCAATAATCACTTGAAAATTAAGAAGTTTTCGAAAATGAAAAATTTGAAGAACTCGCATATGTTATTATGTTGGATTATAAACTTTCAAAATGCCCAATCTCTATATTGTAAGAAGCTTCTCCGTTTTCTAGACAGAGTTCTGGTCAGATTTTTTTCCTAACGGGTTACATGGGTTTCGCGAGCAAAAAACGCCCTATTTTAAATAATTTTTTTTTCATATAAAAAATTAAATATTTTATTCAAACCTTTTATTATTCTAAAGATACATATTTCGTAAAGATTTTGTAAAGTTTTCAAAGAAAAATATTCAAAACTCGGTCATTACGCCGTTGTTGTTGTTGTTTTTGTAACGGTTACCTAGTCCCCGTTTGGGTGATAAATTCCAGATTCGTTGTCGTCGAGGTCATCTAACGGGAGGCCCAGGAAACGAGCCGTTTCGATGGGGTCGGACCATAGGGAGAGGGGTGTTAGATGAGTGGGGTCATTACGCCGTCATTTCCGGCAGTTCCTCGGAAAAATTATTCTACCGCGTTGACAGCAGAACTTCTGACAGGATCATCAAAAGTAAAAGAGAAAAGAATACGGGTTTGAATTAAGACCATTAACTAGGTACGAAGACGGAAAAAAAAACAAATGAAGTGAAAATTGTATTTTTGGCAGACGTTTTTACAAAAAAGGCAAAGATCGGTTGAGTAGTTCTTGAGAAATCTTGACAACCGACTTTGAAAACACAGTTTCGCCAAGCCGTGAAACCCATGTAACCTCTTAATAAATTTTGAGTTTATTTAAAACTGAAAATAGAAAAGAAGGTTGTAATGAACACAAAGAGGAACTTTCTTTTGACGTTTAATACCCAAGAAAAGTTACTCTCTTAATGTGCTAAATATTGTGATTTCTTAAAAGCTTTTATAAAACAATTTTCAAAATTGCAAACAAAATCATTACATCTTTTTCCTTCTTCATTGAAAAAAAGTTTGCCTCCCATTACTACATATTACAAAACTAACAATATATGTAGATATATACATATACCTATAATAAATTTCCTCTGGGTGGTCGACAGAAGCAATAAGAATACAACACAAAACTAACAGTTAAAGTTTAGGCAAGTAACTGAGGTGGTACCGCCTTACAAATACATTACAACGATTTTATTGTTTTGTTTTTCGGTTCTGATATTAATCAAGTTTAGCTTATGGAAATAATAATAGAAAGCAAAAGTATGAAAAATGTTTAGTTGGAGAACAAAAGAAATCAAAAGCTGTTAACACGTTCTTGTAGAGGTACTGAAATGGGTCATTATTATATATTTATGTGTTGTGAAAGTTGAATTGGAAGAATTAATTCTTTGAATCAAAACGGAAAACGGCTGCTTTCATTCAGAATAAAATAATAATTATTAAACTAGTATTATTCAAAAACATGACTTTCAATTAGCTAGTATATATGTAGCTTAATTAAACTGAAATAACCGACATTTTTCACAGCGATAAATAAAAATTAAATTCTTTTTTGAATATTTTGTGTATTGTCGTGTAAAATAGAGCATTAATATATAGCAGAGCTTTGGAAATTACATTTTTCAAAAAAAAAAAAAAAAAAAACTGTATTTGGTAACTTTCTATTTGAAAATTCATATATCTCAAATCGTTCGTCATTAACAAAAAATTTGTATTATTATTATATTCCATAGAGATTTGAGCCCTCAAAACTCATTAAAATGCTGAAAAAAATGTCACTCAATTGCAATTTTTAAAATCTTTGTGTTTTAATGATAAAAAAAATATTTTGGTAATAATATTTGTTTGAATCTATGTGTAATTTCGCACACTTTATTGCCTTTCAAATTGCCAAATTTGCCGCCTCCGCGTTAAAGTCAACAAGCGCTCTGCCATAAGCAATTTCACATTTCGTTTTCAATAATTTTCTTGCTTTCTTTTATTATAACAAAAGACGTTGCACAAACGGTTGAATAAAATGGATTTCATTAGTTTCATTACAAAACAAAAGCGATTTCGCTGTTCTTAATGTTCATTAAAATTCTGATAGCGTCACACAAAACTACCGCACACCAATAAAAAAAAAAAAAAACGAACGAAAAAAAGGAAACCGGCTTTATAAAAAAAACAATACGTTGATATAAATATATAACACAGCACTGTTCTTGGTTCTGCTCTTTTGTTGGAGCTTCACTACTGGTTACCTGCGCGCTCTGAAAGCCGCACAATGCACCAGCGAAGCCGAAATTTACAGACCACAACACAATGCTTTTACACGATTCCTTATGTTGTATATAAAGAGTTTATTATATATGTATATGCATGTATAACAGCGGGTAAGTTTGACTCTTAACTTTGGCGCTACGCAAACAATGAACAAACGCAGAACTGCAGCGAAGCCGTCGAATCTGCGAGCAAAGTATAAAACGCACAACACATCGACCGAGTTGAAACTGAAGAAAACCGAAAGAATTTTGTAGCAAGAGCATAAACTTGGTGGCTTTAAGATTTATTTCGCCGAAAAGCAGTGGAAGGAAACTTTATAATTTGAGTGAAAGCTTACTGAGCTGCTCGAAGCTTTTGTATGAGTGTGTATTGCTAAGAATGAGTGGGTTTTGAGTGATTTTGTGTGCATGCTTTATTCTCCTTCATATGTGCATACAATACAATACATACATATGTACACAACATAAGCATTTCTTGCAGCTTCTTTGTTTTGCTTGGCAAATTCGTCGCGAATTTCTGATACATACATACATACATAAATACAGCCGTGTGTACCGCCAGTTAAGCTCTTTTATTTCAGCTATTTTTAGCACATACTCACATCCATATATATACAAGTATGTTTATACGTATGTGTGCTTGTGCAGCCTCTTGGCGCCATTTATATCTACCGCAAATGGCTTGAAAGCTACACGAATGCGGTGTGTCGTAGCGAGCGGAGATAGGTCATTGTCAAGTTGGCATTCGAAGCAGGCAAAATATGTATGTGCCTCATAACAGTATACTTAGTTCTTCTGCATTTGCTGAGTATGCACAACAGCCACTCGTACATTCTTCTGATGCCTCATTTCAATTGTTTGCGTTTTGTTTAAATTCGGTTTGCTACTTTTCTATGTGCGTTCGTTAAGCTTTTTTCTCCAGCTGTTTGGTTTTTATTATAGTTAAACAGAAAAATTACAAGTATATAGACAAACTCAGATAATGGCATGTATTAATGTAATTACTTGTTTAAATATGTGTACATTTGTATGTGGTATGTTTTGAAGCTTCTTTATTGACTTCTGCTTGGCAATAATATTCTAGCCCATATTAATTTTATTTGCTCTAATTATGTGAGTGTTAATTACAGTTAGGGAATGCACATTAAAACTGTGACTGCTGTTGGATTCAGCTGTTTTGTTGAATGCATGACATCATACAAAATTAGTATATTTTATACATACCACTTATTTTCAATTGCACATATATGGACCACCTTAAAGAATTAGTGAAAACTCGTTCCTGCTGGAAAAATGGATAGAGATAGATTTATTTCACTTTCACTCTACAAACTCAGAGTTAGGCAAGAAAAACCTTTAAAACTTACTTAATCTTAAAGTTATTTCGATCTTTTGTGGTGTTTTGCATTAAACGCAGCACACAGGTATGGAGTTTAACATGCATGGGGATCGGAGAGTTAGGACGTAATTATTCAGAAGTCTCTATCGACTTTAGAACGGCGGCATCACTGGCTCATTTTCCTCTGAATATATACGAAAAATTGATTTTGCAGATTTTCAGTAATTTTGGATAAGCCAATAGATTACATTGGGTAGCTTAACAGTTCAGTCCTTTAATACATACATATAAACGGCAAGGTAATTTTCTGATGCAGTAAACGTCACTCAAATCGATATATATAGATATAATATAATTTATATATACATATTTATTATTTGAAGAGTCGAGTTGTGTAAAATAACTAAAAAAAAAATTTTAAATCAGAGCACATTAAAGGGAGAGTCATTGTGAAAGACTTCAAAAATTGTTCGAACAGTTAACCTTAAAAGCCTTTAAGAGCTTTCATGGGTTTCCTCGAGCAAATAACGGCCTGCTTTCAATTATTTTCAATTTTTTCACACATATTTAACAAAGATTTCTGGACATTTTCAAAGCAAAATACTCAAAACTCGGCCATTACGACATTATTTCCGGCAATTCCTCGGACAAAAAGGTGCTTCCGCGTTAACAGCAGAACTTTTAACAGGATTATCAAAAGCAAAAAAAAAATATGTGTTTGTAATTAAAACCATAAACTATGTATTGGAAGTAGGAAAAAACAACAAAATAAAAATTTTAATTTTGGCAGACGTTTTTACAAAAAAAAAAATTCAAATTTTGTTGAACATTTCTTGATATTCTTGATTTTTTTTTAATAGTTGTAATTGAACACAAAAAATATCCTTCGTTCAAGACCTTCTAAATTACATATATCTCGAAGAACTGTGTAAAATTTTATTTAGATCCACTGATTAGTTCGTGAAAAATCTTCACAACCGACTTTGAACTCACTGTTTCAAGAAAAACTCGTTTAAGGCTTTAAGTACTATTAAGCTGGCCCTTATAGTAGGTCAACTCATTGTTTATAAGTTCATTATATAGTGCGGTGGCCAGCCGCAGCATTACGGCAATATATAACACAATATTTATTTATTTTTTTTCTTTCTATATTTCTATTATCAATTATAGTGGGATTAGAAAATAATCGGAACACCTTCTTTGGAAAAATTAAGAGGAAAAGAACCTGACTTTAATTTCCTTACTAACAGGCAAGGCAAGAATCCGAAGCGTTACTTTAAACTTAATCGACATCGCTTAGTTGATTCGTCATCAGTAAAGAATAATCAGTCGAACAGCGAGGTCACCAATATTTTATCGAGATATATGGTAAAAAGAAACGACGAGACTGTGAGGCGCTTGTTATATAAATGAACACTATTTACTTGACTGAAAGCATTATTTTCATAAAAATAAATTAAAATAATTTCACAAAAAAGTCATTAATGAGGTATCAAGATTCGCCTTGAAAGTTTCGTGCTGCGCCGTCGACAATTTTTCGTAGCATTTACCTTTCGCTTCTTTTTCCTCACAGCTCTTTCTGCCACTTCACAAGCGCGCGTCTGAGTGCACACACCTTCAGCGATTAAAGCTGTGCTGAGCCTCGCTGAGCGTGAGAAATTAATGCCGCTGGCGCCTGGCAGCTATACACGGCAACAACAGGAAAACAACAACAAACAAACATAAATATGTAAATGTGTAAATGTATATGGGCAAACAAAAACACACTCGTAACAAGCATCTTCAATACAATGGCGAGCAACTTTGCTGCCCATCAGCCAGATGGCGCTTTGTATGAAATATACAAAGCTCCTAAAGTGTTTGTATGTGTGCGTGAGGTGTCGCACAACATTACAAACAGCTGAAGGCTGATTTGCTTTCACATTGGTTTTTTTTTAGCACAACTGTATGGAATTTGACTGAAAGAGGAAAATGCTTATAAATATTTATTTACACGCTTTGGCGTTTGTATGCTTGGTAATTGCAAGCCATTACAATTTTTTATATGTGCCAGTGGAATACGTATGTGTATAATTACAAACGCCAACAATTTTCGCTGAATTGCGAGAGACAAAGGATTTCCCAGGCGATTTGTTTTGGAATATTTATATTTGCTCTGTTAAAGCTTTAGCCTTATCCGGTGGCAACTCTTTGGTGTGGAGCGGAGTTATGTCATGATGCCGCGGTAAGATCTAAAATGTAGAGAATTTTTAACTATTGATTAAGTAAATATTTCTCATACGAGAACTCTTCTTACATAAGTCTATGATGCTTACAATGCTTAGCTCCCTAAATAAGTCGAAGAAACCGCGCAGATAAATATTTGCAAGAAAGTTAATGACCGATGGAAGCAGCTGCAAATATAAATTGAAAAAGAAATTTCGAAGAAAAGTTCTAAAGATATGCAGTTCCGCAAGATAGCAGATAGCGCGATAGGCCTAAGTATAGCTGAAAACGCACATCTGAAGAAGAACATGAGTCAATGGGGAAAACTTAGAGCGAAGGGAAAGCTCTATCAAAAAATCGTAATCAATGGAGACATTTTGTTGCGGCTATAGTCCTAAAAATGCCCGAAAAACTAAAAAGAAGAAGAATCTCGTTAGAAGCGTTTGGATTATTCTAAGTAATTACATTAAATAAAATCCTCAAAATGTCAACCCAACACTTTTTACTAGCAAATAATTATACAAATATTATAATTTCTCACAAAATTGTCTCCTCTAAGGATGAAATTGGTTTATGTGTGTACTGTAACTACACTCCATCATAATAGTGAAATGGCAATATTTTACTAAAACACATCTGATGCCCTATTAGTTAGGTGAAATAATTTGGCACAAGCCACAAATTTGCGCATAAAACCGACACAGACTAAGCTGGCTGCCATGTTGGTGGCTTTGTGATAGCAGCCATGGCGTATGAGCAACTCATAAAATATGTAATCAAATTAATGTTGCTCATACGCGGTGGCAGACAAAAACTTCGGCAGTAAACAGCTTATACTGTTAAACCACTAGGCGTACTAAATGAAAACACATACAAAACGCATGTGTATACGTATATACACACATACATAGTGAAATTGTCAGAATAATTTCATACGCTGAAGACAAAATCCAATTTCATTTTTGTCTGCCTACATTTGACCCGTTGATGAACCACAATCGCAAAATGAGAATAAATAAATTTTTATCTGTCAATCTATCGATAACTCGCAATTCAGTGGCGCTTTAATATTAATCATATTTTATTGATATAAGGTGAATGTTGCTAGCAATGCAACACTTATTAATGCTTAAACATTAATACCTACATATGAAATACAATACGTATGTTATCATATTTAATATAATGGACAATTTATGATTGTACTTTATAGGAAATATATATATATATATTTTTCTAAAATAAGTCAAGTACTTAGCGCTATTTTCAGATACCTTAATCATTCTTTAAATTCTTATTACTCTTAACAGCTCTTTCTTTTATATTCTTATAAGAATTGAAATCAGAGAGTTGACTTCTCTCAAATGCGAAACATATTACAATTTTGGTTATTAGATTTTTATCTTATGAGAAGAAAATATATAAGAATTGAGATTATGTCTCCGTTGAAAAGGCTCTGAATATCCGTTACTTCAATGGTATACATATGAACCATACTATAAAGAACATGACTGATGTTATTGGTTGGAACTCAAGTACTAAAAGTAATGGAAAATAGTCTAAAATGTCAAAAAGCGCATTCCTGTGATTACCAAAGGTTCCCAAAAACTTATTTTGGTATTGTTATTTGAAAAGAGAGTTTATTAAAATCATTTTCAAAGAGATTGTGTAAGGAAAGAGACTG